CTCCCCTCCCACGCCTCCGGTCAGCATCAAGTCTGAGCGACTGTCTCCAGTCACTGGGACCTCTGGAGACTTTCCCAGGTCCTTCCCCTACCCGCTGCTCCTTGCCAGGCCCCTGGCAGAGCCACTGCGGGCCTCGGCCTCCCTGCGCCGCTTGACCCCTGACAGCTGGCCACGGTAGCGCTCCAAGAGGTTCCTCCAGCCTCCACAGAGTCCCAGAAGTCTCAGGCTCCCTGCAGCGCCAGGAGGGCGAGGGCACCCAACGTGTATCAGTAATGAGGCCCTGTCCCTTCTTGGAGGCCGCTGCATCAATAAAGCCCAAGGATTCGGGAGGGCGCTGGGCAGCCCCCAGCTCAGAGCCTCCCGAGTCCGGGATAGCCACACCTAGTCTCCCCAAAGGTCTCATTTTTGCCTACACTGGTTTTGGGGTGCACGCCACAGGAACGGATTCCAAGAAGAAGGCAAGGTGGAGGGTGGGGTGACCCAAGAAGGAGCCACAGTCATTGCCACCAAGGGCGGGCCAGGAGGTCTGAGCTGCTCCTGGAAGTGTGAATTTGGGATGAGGCCACAGCCATATCACTGTGGTAGGTGAGAGTGAGTAAGAGTGGGTTGCCTGTGGTGACCAGAAGTTCTAGGACAGCCTGGGACAGAGAAGACTCTGTTTTAAAAAAAGTAAACAGGAGGCCACTCCAAGATGGCTCAGGGGTGAAGGCACTTGCTGCCAATCTTACCGACCTGAGTTCTATTGCTGGAAGTTCTACTGGTGGAAGGCAAGAACCAGCTGCCTCTAAGTTGTCCATTGACCTCGTTACATGCAGGTGCCCCCCCCAAACAGATACAAAAGAACGAGTGAGGTGAAGACAGGATGGCTGGGGCTTAGTGGCCCAGCTCCAGCTTAGAGGCAGACCCTGTCTGAAGGGAATAAGACCCCCAACTCCTTTCTGTGTCCTCTCAGGCTGTATTGGGACCGTCCCACAAGGAGACAGACTTAAAAGACAGACATAAAATACGTAAACACAATGAAAGGCTGGAGCCAGGGCTTCGGGGCTGCACTCTTCCTCCTTCAAGTGTGTCCTAGGCTGAAGAGATGGCCCAGCAGGTGTGACGCTGGTTATGTGATCATGTCACTAGGAACCCAGTGGGTCACAAGCCCAGGGTTCCACAGACACTGTTACCTAGCTCTGCTGCAGGTTTGCTGGCTGATAGTCTAGCCTAGGAAATTCAGCCTCCGGTTCAGAGAGAGTCCCTGTCTCAAAAGGGACACCCGATGTCCTCCCATAGCTTCTGCCAGGGAACAGGCAAGCATACTGGGAGCTCGCACACATACACCTAAATGATGATTACACAGGAACACCTTTTAGTTTTAAGGGGTGGGGTCCCCTAGGGCAAGATGCCTCCGCTGGAGGAGATGCACTGGCCAGCTCTCAGTTCAATCCCAGGAGGAAATGCACGTGGTGGAATTAGAAAACCGACCCCACATATCGTCCACTGTGGCATCACCACACCTTTCCCCAGTACGCAGGCCAGCATTTCTCAACCTGTGGGTCACCGAAGATCATTGGAAAACACAGATGTTTACGTTACAGTTCATAACAATAGCAAAATTACAGTTAAAAGTAGCAACAGAAGTAATTTTATGGTTGAGAGTCACCACAACATTAGGAACTGCATTAAAGGGGGCTTCCTGGCATTAGGAAGGTTGAGAACCACTGACATCAGTTAATGTTAAAAACAAGATATTAAAAATGGGTTTCTAGGCTCAGCTCTCTCCTTCCGCCCAGGCCTCCTGGTCTCCGTTACGACACCACATCCTGGAGCATGCTCCAGGATAGAGCAAGATTGCTTGTGTGCTTGGGTGGTACTCAAGGGGCCTCTGAAACTCAGTAATCATCTTCTGCCTGGTTATTCCTGGCTTCGACCTCCCCTAGCTAAGTGCCTCAGACACCACTGGGGTTGGGGGCAGGGGATTAACTGTGGCCTTAGGCCACTCAGATCCAACACTAAGAAACAAAATCAGTGAGCACTCAAGACTGAAGCCAGGTTGTGAGGCCTAAAGGGCCCTGGGAGAGGCCTTGGGGTTCTAGAATGATCCTCAGGGCTTCCACAGCCCGGACATTGAGCCAGGAGGGCATGAGGAGGAGTCTGAGAAACAAGCAGGCCTGGGAGGTGGGGAGTGGTGTCCTATGTCTTTAATTCCAGCACTTGGCAGGCGAAAGTGTCAGATTTCTGAGTTAGAGGGCAGCCTGGTGTACATTAAGATCTTACCCTGGACTACATAGCAAGACCATATCTGAAAAAGACACCACACCAGAGACTAGGCCAGGCCAGACCAGGCCAGGCCAGGCCAGATCAGGCCAGGCCTGGACCCTGAGGTTGATGCAGAGGCCGTGGAGGAGCAGCTTCCTGTTTTCTTCTTTTCCTTTTCCATTCTCTTTTTGTGTTTCCAAGGCAGGGTTTCTCTGTGCAATAGCCCTGGTTATCCTGAAACTCAATCTTTAGACTAGGGTGGCCTCAAACTCATAGAGAACTGCCTGCTTCTGCATCCAGAGTTCTAGGATTAAAGATGTGGGCCACTACCCCTGGCCTTAGAACCCAGGACCACCAGCCCAGGGATGGCACCACCTGTCATGGGCTTGGTCCTCCCACATCTATCGCTAGTTTTAAAAATGCCCTACATGCTTGCCCATGGCTCAGCCTCACGGAGGCAGTTCTCAATCAACATTCCCTTCTCCCAAACGACTTTAGCTTGTGTTAAGTTGACATAAAATTCCAGCACACTAAACTACCAGACCAGACCATGAATGCACCTCAAACATGGACAGGAGTTTGAAAAAAGCCAGGTGTGGTGTAGCAAGTTTGTAACTCCAGCACTGGGGCACAGGGGACACCCATCTTCTGTCAACAAGACATTCTGAGTCCAGAGGGTCAAAGTCACTGTGAATGACCTCACACGGACATCCACATAGGTTCATAAACATTGACGAGACCATTGCAGAGGCAGCACAGTCAGCTGTATGGACAGCATCCCATGAGCATGTGCCCCATAAGACAGCCAGATACCTAAACCGGTCCAGGACCTAGAGATAAGAGCTGCCTTTCCTCCTCCAAGCCACCAGGGGGAGACTATAGGGTCCTAAGGTGACAGTTCTTGTTCAAGCTTTATCTGAGACTGAGGTTGTTGTACATGATGCTTTTGCTTGGAAAAGCCAAAACAAACCGGGGACTAACAGCTCAGGGCACTCTAAGGTTCACAGCCCTTCTGACCCAGCCTCCCAAGTGGTGGATTCCCTGTGAGCTCCACTACCCCACCCTGTGGGTCTAACTCTAGCATTTTCTATTACATGAGCCCAAATCTTCCTTTTGTTGTTTGAGCCTTTTGGAATTTATGTTTTAAGATTTATCTTTTTGAGCTGGGTGGTGGTGGTGCATGTCTTTAATCCCAGCACTTGGGAGGCAGAGGCAGGCAGATTTCTGAGTTCGAGGCCAGCCTGGTCTACAGAGTGAGTTCCAGGACAGCCAGGGCTATACAGAAAAACCCTGTCTCGAAAAACAAAACAAAACAAACAAACAAACAAACAAAATTTATGTTTTTGAATCAGAGCCTCACAATGTATCCCTTGCTGGCCTGGAACTCATTATGAAGATCAGGCTAGCTCCAAACTAACAAAAATGGCTTTGCTCTGTCTCGCAGGAGTTAGGAGTCCTTTCTGCTTTTTAAATTTTTGTTTGTTTATTTTGTTTTTTTAAACAGTCTTAAAATATGAAGCTCTAGTGGTTTCAATCTGGCTATGCAGCCTAGGCTGCCGTTGGTCTTAAAACATCCTCCTGTCTCAGCCCTCTAGGAGAGTAGACACCCATGTGATGCACTACACCTGGCTGGCTGAGGAGTGTGTGGCTCAGAAAATTGAGGTGCACACACGGGCATCCAGGCTCCTCTCTGGATTGAGGTGGTGGTGTAGGGAGTTGGAGAGGTCGCTCACACAACACAGGCCTCGCCTTTGCACAGCGGCTCCACCCCCAGCAATGAGAAAACTGGCCAGGCATAGTTAAAGACATCTGTCACTTGAGCATTTTAGAGCTGGAGGCAGGAGGTCAGAACCTCAAGGTCATCCTTGTCTACACGGCAAAGTTCAGACCCCCTACTAAAACCAAACAGGGCTAGCAAGCCTGTTCAGCAGGTTGAGGCTTTTTCTGTGAACCGTGAGTTTGATCCCCTGGAGCCCACATGATAGCAGGAGAGAACTGACTGTAGCAAGTTATCCTGTCCTCCACACACACACAGATAAATAAGCATAGTAAGAAACAACCCCCGTCCCACTCCCCCAAGTAAAAACAAAACGGGCTAGAAAGTTGGTTAATTGATTAGGATTGAGTGCTGCTTTTGCAGGGAACACGTTCAGCCTAAGCCCTCTTCTCAGTCTATAAACACCCACATGTAGCTTTAGGTTCAAAGGATCTGGCCCTCTCCTCTAGACTCTAAGGACTGTAGCCACGTGCACACATCCACAAAATACAGACGTACTAGAAAATAAAACGAACCTAGTAGTGTGGTAGCACAGGTCTTTTTAAATCCCCAGTACTCAGGAGGCAGAGGCAGGCAGATCACTGACTTGGAGGCCAGCGTGGTCTACAGAGTGAGTTTCAGGACAGACCAGAAGTTACATAGGGTCTCGGTGTCTCTCTCTCTCTCTCTCTCTCTCTCTCTCTCTCTCTCTCTCTCTCTCTCTCACACACACACACACACACACACACACACACACACACACACACACCCGCGCGCGACAAGGTAGAAAAGAGAAGTTACATAGGGGCTCTGTCTCTCCCACACAAGGAAGATAAGGAAGAAAAGGAAGGAAAAGACAGCAGACAGAAAATCTCATGCTCCAGCTAGAACTACAATTTCCAGCATGCATTGCGGACACCCACCCCATTCTTAGCCCGATGACTGACTTCCCAGGATGCTCGTCAACAGCATCCTGTCTCTAATTGGCCGAGATCCTCAGCGCTTCCCCCGTCCAGCCTGGTGCCAGTGTGCGCCCGGGGAGTGGACATGGTGAGCAGGCCCTCTGGGATCCCGGGACGGAGGACGGCCTGGCCGAGCCGAGAGGGACCCCCGAAGGCTTCGAGGCCTCGCGGGCTATTGGAAGTGGCGTGTAGTCAGTGGTGCAGGACGCGGTGGGAGGTGAAGCTAGGGCTCTGGTCTGGAGTAAGGGAGCTGGGATTGCAGTTGTCTTTGCTTTCTGACAGGGACCCATGTAAGCCGGGGTTGTACTAGAACTTATTCGTAGCCTATGGGGACCTCGAACTTCTGATTCTCCTGCCTCCAGAGTGCTGAGATGACAAACGTGTGCCACTATTCACGGCTTTCTGTTTTTCTTTTAAAATATTTTTTTTATTTTTCATTATTTTATTACATTTATTTATGTATGTATGTGCACCACGTGTGTGTGTGTGCTGTTCTTAGAAGCCAGAGGAGACATGTAGGATGATCTACCAAATGGGTGCTGGAATTGAACCTGTGACCTCTGGAAGAGCAATCTGTACTCTTAACCACTGAGCTATCCCTCTAGCATCCCGCTCCTTTTATTTTATTTATTTACCTATTAAAAAATTATTTACAAAGGGTCTTACCCGTTGGTGTTGATGGACAGTGATGGCAAACACCTTTAATCCCAGCACTTGGGAGGCAGAGGCAGGCAGATTTCTGAGTTCGAGGCCAGCCTGGTCTACAGAGTGAGTTCCAGGACAGCCAGGGCTACACAGAGAAACCCTGTCTCAAAAAACAAAGCAGAACTGTATACCAGCACACCCAGCTCACCGTTTATTTTTAATGACCAACTGGTTTTAATATTAATCTGTATTTCATGTTAATTGGGTATGATGCCAGAACACTGGGAGGCAGCTCTAGTGACACATAGTGTATATAATTAGATAATTACAGAAATTAGTGCTGTGTCAGGCAGGGAGCCTGACTTAGCTTCCTACTGAGAGATTTGTGAAGCTGTGCTCTGGATTGTTGCTGGGCTGTAGTGGAGAGCTGGCATCTACTTATTTGGTTGGGTGTTCTCCTAGCATGGACAAGGCTCATCCCTGCACTGCACAAGCTGGGTGTGGGTGCACACCATCACCCCAGCACTCAGGAAGTGGGGACAGGAGGGTCAGCAGTTCAGGGTCACCTTCAGCTACATTCTGAGATCCAGACCAGCCTGGGGTATAGGAAATCAACCTACCTGCCTACCTACCTACCTTCCGTTCTTCTTCACTCACTTTCTTCCTTTGTTTCTTCCTTTGTTTGTTTGTTTGTTTGTTTCTTTCTTTCTCTCTTTCTTTCCCCAGATATTGTTTCTCTGTGTAGCCCTGGCTATCCTAGAACTCCTTCTGTAGACTAGGCTGGCCTCAGACTCAGCGATCTGTCTGCATCTGCTTCCCAAGTGCTGGGATTAAATCCATGATTAAACACCGTGCCTGACATCCTTTAAACAAATAGTTGGGTGTGTTGGCTCTGGCTTTTAATCCCAACATTGGTGAACCAGAGGCAGGTAGATTTCTGTATGTTGGAGGCCAGCCTGATCTACATAGGGATAACCAGAGCTCACAAAGCAAACAAAGTATTTAGGGAAAGGGGTTCAGGACTCTGATGGCGGAAGCAGGGGTCACAACCAGGTTAGCTGCTGGAGATGTCTAAGACTCTGAAGATAGACTCTGGCCTCACACCCAGTGTCTTCTGAGAGAAACAACAGAGCCGGAGGCTGGCCCTCCCCACCCATCCACCTTCTCTATAAATAACCTATGTTACTTCAGGGAACGTGAAACTTTCTGATTAGAGCTTTCCCTTTAGGCGGTCCTTGGAGTGCAGCTGGTAGTGACTCTGTTCACTGCCACCCTCATGCACAGGATGGCCCCACACTGCTCCTTCGCCCGCTGGCTGCTCTGCAATGGCAGGTAAGTGAGGTAATGTCCCACTGCCCGTGTGGCCCTGCCCAGGTCACCTGGTGCATGTTGCTTCCGTTATAAAAATATTCTTCTTCTTCTTAATTATGTATAGGTGTGTATCTCCGTGTATGGGGTTGTGTACTCGTGTGCAGATACCAGGGGAGGCCAGAGAGGCATGGGGGTTGGAGTTACAGGCAGTTGTGAGCTGCCTGGTGTGGGGACTGAGAACCCAGCCCAGGTCATCTGAGGAGCCCCCAGTGCTCTTATCCACTGAGCCATTGCTTCAGCCCCTGGTTTTGTGGTTTTTAGACAGAGTCTCACACTGTAGCTCAGGCTGCTTGTGAAAATGTGGCAATCCCTCTGCCTCAGCCTCCCATCTGAATTTCAAAACAGATTTCTTTTCAATTGTGTGTCACATGTGTGTCTGTGTGTGGTTTGTGCCTTTCCTAAGTGAAAGTTGCCAGTTATGATGGTTGTGGGCTGCCCAACATGGTGCGGGTACCTCGAGGTGGGGGTGGGATCATCTAGAACAGCAAGAGCTTTTAACCAACCGCTGAGCCACCTCTCTAGCCGTCTAAGCCACCTCTCTAGCCGTCTACAGTCTTTAAACTTTACTTTGATTTACTCTTCCTATTGTGTGTGCACTGTTTAGGTGCCCACCCTGGCACTTGTGTGGAGTCAGGTTGTAACGTTGGTCTTCTCTTTCCACCTTAAGTAGGCTTTAAGTAGCCAGGCTTTGAGGCATGGTCTCTACAGAGTCCTGGCTGTCTTGGAACTCACAGAGATCCATCCGCCCGCCTCTGCCTTCTGAGACCTGGGATCTAAGGCATCCACCACTGTTGATGTTTTGTAATGAGGCGGGGGTGCGTTAGCGGGCCCATGAGGTACCCGCTATACAACCAGTTAGTATAAAGTGAGGTATGGGAGGGGGTAAGAAGGGAGTGGAGGCAGAGAAAGGGGACAGAGAAGGACAGAGAAAGAAGGGAAGAGGAGAACTTGGGAAGGGGGAGAGAGGGAGTGGGAGAGACAGAGACATACACACATGCCTGTACCTGGCTGTTGGCTGTTGGGCAGAGCCTAGAAGAAATGCTAACAACTATGCCTGATGTCTTTAAAAAAAAATTTATCTGAGTACACTGTAGCTGTCTGTCTTCAGACACACCAGAAGAGGTCATCAGATGTGAGCTATCAAGTAGCTGCTGGGAATTGAACTCAGGACCTCTGCCATCTCTCCAGCCCCATCCTTTGATGTCTTTAAAGTACACCTTGGATCTGTCTTGACAACAGAGCCCCACTCCCCCACTCCCCTCCTCCTGGCCTTTTGTAATCCAGCTTTCTCCTGTGCTTCCTGTTTTGGCACCTGGACCTTCTGAGGATCTGTTGGAGTGGTTTCTTTTCACAAGAATGGCAGGGCCCCAGAGAGTCAGCGGACTCTTCAGCCAACAGGGTGTCCTTAATTCTCAAGGCCCCTGTGGTTGGATTAGTTCCCCTCATCTCATGTTCCCAGAATTCCCCTAGCTTTGAGTACACCCATGCACCCTGGTTCATCTTTCTACAGGGCTGCCCCCGCCCCAGCTCTGCCCCCGCCCCAGCTCCGCCCCCGCCCCGCCCCCGCCCCAGCCCCGCCCCTCCCCGCCCCACCCCAGCTCTGCCCCTGCCCCGCCCTCGCCCCAGCTCCGCCCCTCCCCGCCCCACCCCAGCTCTGCCCCGC